GGAATGTCTTAATTTCTCTTTCATTTTTGAAGGATAATTTTGTCAGATATAGAATTCTTGGTTGAGTTTTTTTCTTTTAGTACTTTGAATATGTCATCCCACTACCTTCTGGCCTCCATAATTGGGATATCAGCTGTTATTGAGGATCCCTTGTATGTGATGAGTCACTTTTCTCTTGCAGCTTTCAAAATTTTCTCCTTGTCTTTGACTTTCACCAGTTTGATTATGATGAGTTTAGATGTGCATCTATTTGTGTTTATCCTACTTGGAATTCATTGAGTTTCTTGGATGTGTATATTAATGTTTTTCAACAAATCTAGGAAGTTTTTGACCATAATTTTTCATATATTCTTTCTGCCCCTTTTCTTTCACTACTCCTTCTGGGACTCCCATTATCCATACGCTGGTATGCTTGATGGTGCCCTATAGATCTCTGAGACTCTGTTTATTTTTCTTCATTCTTTTTTCTTTCTGCTTCTCAGACTGTATAACCTCAATTGATGTGTCATCAAGTTCACAGATTCATTCTCTGCCTGCCTAAATCTGCTGTTAAGCCCTTCCAGTGAATATTATTTCAGTTATTGTAGTCTACAGCTCCAGAATTTCTGTTGCTAACTGAAAGGTCAGCAGTTTGAACCCACCAGCCACTTCGCAGGAGAAAGATGTGGCAGTCTGCTTCCATAAAGATAGCCTTGGAAACCCTATGGGGTTGCTATGAGTCAGAATCAACTCAATGGCAGTAGGTATTGATATTTTCTATCTGATGAGATATTGTTCTAATACTTTCCTTTAGTTCTTTAGACATGGTTTTCTTTTGGTCTTTGAACATATTTAGAAGTCTTTGTCTAGTAAGTCCAACATCTGGGCTTCCTCAGGGACAGTTTCTACTATTGCTTTATGTATTTATTTATTTATCAATATTTGTGGGCTACACTTTCTTGTTTCGTTACATGCCTCATAATTTTTTGTTAAAAACTTTTCATTTTAAATAACATAATGCGATAACTCTGGAATCATATTTTCCCCTCATCCCCAGGGTTTGTTGTTGCCATTTGTTGTGCTGTTGCTTGTTCGTTTAGTGACTTTTCTGAGCTAATTCTGCGAGGTCTGTATTCTTTGTCATGTGTGGCCACTGTAGTCTCTGTTCGGTTACATTACTGGCCCATTAATGATGAGGCAGGTATTTCTTTAGATGCCTGGAGCCACCAAGTCTCCCAGTGTTTCCTGAGGGGCTGTGGTTAAGAGCTCAGCTGCTAACCAAAAGGTTGACAATTTGAATCCACCAGCCACTCCTTGGAAACCCTATGGGGCAGTTCTACTCTGTCCTATAGGGCCGGAATCAACTTAATGGCAGTGGGTCTGGGGCATGCCTTCTACGCTCAGCCAGGCAGTTCACAACTCTGCTTTAGCATTCACTTACTGCTTGCAAAGAGCCTCAAAGTCAGCCAGAGATGAGAGCATAGGGCCTTCTCAAGTATTTCCTGACCATTTACATAGCCCTGAGTATGCACATAGCTTCTAGATTTCCAGGAATATGCTGGAGCTTTTCAAAGCCTGTGTGGATGGATGTCTCGGGAGCTCTGGTGGTACAACAGTTAAGCACTTGGCTGCTAACCAAAAGGTTGGCATTTCAAGCCCATGCAGCAGCTCTTTGGGAGAAAGACCTGGCAGTCTGCTTCCTTAAAGATTACAGCCAAGAAAACCCTATGGAGTAGTTCTGCTCTGTCACATGGGGTCACTATGAGTTGAAAATCAACTCGACGGCATCTAACAACAACAGCAAGGACGTCTCATTCCCCTGCTTTTCCTTTTAAGCTTTTTGCTTAGTCTGTTTTTTACCTCATCTGTTATCCATCATCTCAGGCAGCTGTAAAGTTAATCATTGCCTGTCCTTTTTATTTATTTATTTTTTAATATTAGCCGAAGAGAAAAGACTTACTGCACTTGTTGAACTCTGAATTAGGTCAAATACACAGTCTTGCAAGTGAGGTCTTCCAAGAAACTTCCAGACAGGTCAAATAATGATGGTTCTTTGGGAATGACACTTTGAAATAGCTTCCACCTTATTCTGCTTCCTCTGATGGCTTCCAGACTACTGGTGTTCACTGTGGATGCAGGATGTTATTTGTCAAGGCAGTTAGGGGTCTGGAGAGTGGAGGAAGAGACTAGGACAAGTTAAAACACCACAAAGTTTGCTGTTCTTACTGAGATTCTTTTTTCTTGAATAAACATTGCCCAAGTTGCTACAAGCCATTAGTTAACTTCCATAGTTCTGAATCACTGGATTCTGACCATTTATGCCAGTTTTCTTTTTTATTTATTTTTACCAAAGTGGGTTGCAGAACATTTTCTTAATGAAATTTGTTTTGCCAGTTGACCTAGATGTCCCCCAAAACCATGTTCCCCAGGCCCCAGCCCTAGCTACTCTGTCGCTCAGAGTATTTGGATATGTCCAGGAAACTTCTTAGCTTTCGCTTTGGTCCATTTGTGCTGACTTCCCCTGTATTGTGTGTTGTCCTTCCCTTCACCGAAGTTGATCCTTGTCTACTATCTACTTAGTGAATTCCCCTCCCCCGCCCTCCCCACCTTTGTAACCATCAAAGAATGCTTTTCTCTGTGTTTAAACCTTTTCTTGTGTTCTTATAATAGTGGTCTCATACAATATTTGTTCTTTTGTGACTGACTAATCTCACTCAGCATAATGCCCTCCAGATTCATCCATGTTGTGAGATGTTTCGCAGATTCATCATTGTTCTTTATCATTGCATAGTATTCCGTTGTGTGTATGTGCCATAATTTGTTTATCCATTCGTCTGTTGATGGGCACCTGCGTTGCTTCCATCTTTTTGCTATTGTGAACAATGCTGCATATGCCAGTTTTCTTATTGCTTTTATGAAGGAGAAAAATTTTGGAGGTCCTTATACCATTGGAGCCCTGGTGGCGTGGTGGTTAAGAGCTTGACTGATAACCAAAAGATCGGCAGTTCAAGTCCACCAGCGGCTCCTTGGAAACCCTATGGAGCAGTTCTACTCTGTCCTATAGGGTCACTGTGAGTTGAAATGGACTCGACAGCCACAGGGTTTTTTGGTTTTACACCATTAGTTTTGTTGATGCCCCCTGACAAACTGCTTCATGAGATAAATTTTATTTAGAGCAACCCAATTACTTTTTTTTGTATGTAAACACTATTAATTTACTCAGTTATTACAGATTTTTGTTATACGTGTATACAGATATTTTGTTGTTAATGCTCTCTCTTACATATTGTATATTTTTTTATTTAATTCATTCGGTTTTGACTACTGTGTTCCAGGCATAGTAGGGAATGCAGATTCGGAGATGAGAATCATCCCACAGTTACTTTCTTTCTCCTGGATCAGAATATTCCCAAATTGCAGAAAATTGATCTTTACTTTCAGAGTATGAAACATTTGTTATTCATTCATTTATTTACTCAGCTGCTGTCTATTGAGCTATTATGTGCCAGGCTATGTTCTGGGGATAAATGAGTGAACAAGACAGACAAGTTTTCTGACGTAAGGGAATGTACATTCTAAGGTGACAACTGATATTATCAAGTAAACAATACATTCCATAATCTGAAGTAATGGTAACTGCTATAATGGAAAATAAACAATTTAAGAGGATAGAGTGACAAAGTGCTATTTTAAATAGGATGTTCAAGAAGGCCCCTCTAAGGGGGTAACATTTGAGCAGAAACCTGAATAAAGCAGAGGTGTGTTATGCAAAGCTAACTGAAGCGCTTTCCAGCAGAGGAAATAATAAAGTACAGGGCCCTGAGTCCAGCTTATTATATTTAACATATGTATGTTATTTTATGTATTTACATATTACATGTAATATAAGAATCATCTTTAAAAATATTTTTGTGAAAAGCTGTATTCAAAAATATTTTATGGTTCAGTTTGATAACTGCTAATCTGCTATTTTTGTTTCATTTACATTTTGAGTTAAATACAGACTAATGTTCCTATAAATCTAATAAATATAGCTTAAAGATTTTATATTTCATTGAAATACATTGTGATTTTCTTCAAATTAAGCCTTTATGTGGGATTCCAATTAGTTTTCTTGTGTGTGGGTCTCACAACAAAGATTTAATGTTAGTGCATGTCAGTTTACTTTTTCTTTTCCTTCTTAAAATATTTTAAAAGATTACTTTCCTCCCTTTGCTTCCTTTCCTTTCCCTTCCCTCTCCTTCCCCTTTCTTTTCCCCTGTTTCTATTCCCTCCCCTTCCCCCCCTCCCCACTTTCCCTCATTTTCCCTTCCCCTCATTTTTCCTTCGGTCCTTCCTCTCTCCTCCCATTTCTTTCCTCCCTCCCACATCCACCCCCTCTTCATTTGCTAAGGAATATGGATTATCTCCACAATCTCTGTCAAAATCATCCTTTCCATTTCTTCTACCATCCCCCAATTTCTTCCTTCTGTATCGATCCTGTAGGCCATTACCATAATTTAATCTTTCTAAATCACAGTTCTTTTTACCTGTTTAAAACCTGTCTGTGATTGGTAGGCCATTGCCTACCAGTTTAAGTCCATAATCTTCAATACACTGGAGATTATGGCTCCAGCCTGCTTCCCTAGTGCCATTTGCCGCCATTATGCTCCTTAACCTTGAGCTAAACTGGTCTATGTCTATTTAGAGGTGCATAAATACATTCCTTGCTTTCTGCTTCCATTCCCTTTCTCCCACTATTTGTTTTGCTGAAAATATTTACCCTTCTATTCTGCGCTTTGAAAACCTCCCATCCTTCAAGGCCCAATTCAGATGCCACCTTTCTTTTTCCCTTATTGTTATCTGTGGATATCTCTTCTCCACCTCACTTAGGTTATAAATTCCTCAAGACCAGATACTATGTCTTCTTGGAATTTTCTGAATTTTTAACACAGTGCCTTGCTATAGTAAATATTTGCTAAATTTAGTTGGTGTGCATCAAGTTCTTTCATTTACCAAAATTTCTATTATCTTGTCTCTAGTTAAAGAAGAATGTAAGAGTCCTAAAAATGAGTGTCGATCACAAAAAATGTCAAATAAGCAGGTAAGCTTTCTTTTTTTTTTTTTTTTAATTGTAATATATATATAACAGAACATGTGCCAATTCTACATTTTAGGTAAATTTTCTTAACATCAAACTTCTAGTTCTTTTCTGTAATTGGTCATTCTGTGGCTTAATTTAACTGAACTTTGCAACTCAAGCAAATCTGTAAGATGAGTAACACAAAGATTGCTGAATGTAGGCTGAAAGCCACTTGGGTGAGAAATTGCACAGCTAGAGTTCAGGATTTAGAACAAGAAACATCTAGCTTTAAGTCCTGTTTCTGTCATTTAATAATTGACTGGCCTTGAGAAATTCATTTCACCTTCACAGCCTCAACTGCTTCATCTTTAAAATGGAAATAAAATAGGTATCTCTATATATCTATATCTGTTGTTGTTGTTGGGTGCCATCGAGTCAAATCCAATTGATAGCGACCCCATGTGACATTTTATAACTACGTCATAGGGTTTTCTTGACTGTTGTCTTTACAGATGCAAATCACCAGGTCTTCCAGGTCTTTTTCCTGCCTTTTTCCTGCAGAGTAGATGGGTGGGTTCAAACCACGAGTCGTTTGGTTAGCAGTCAAGGACTTAACCGCTGAGCCACCAGGACTCCTTTATGTCTATCTACATATATGTATGTGTGTGTGTTTGTCTGTAGACAAAAAAACCTGTTGCCCATTGAGTCAATTCTGACTCGCAGCGACCCTGTAGGACAGAGTAGAACTGCCACATAGGTTTTCCAAGGAGCGGCTGGTGGATTCAAAGTGCCAGCCTTTTGGTTAGCAGCCGACCTCCAGATATATGGAAATATATGTTTGTATATACTATGAAAGTATACAGAACAACGTAGCAAACTTAACAGGGTTAATTGTTAATTCTGGAGAGTTAGATTATCTTGGGGAAAGCCAAGATCATTTATGCTTCATTTTATATAGTCTCTGCTGTTTTTTAAGGAATATATATATTATAATCAAAGAATAACAAATTGTTAATCTAATAATACTCATCAACCTGTGCACTTACGATGTGTGTGCTTTTCTATGTGCATTATAATTTAATACAAAGATTTAAAAATTAAATCTCTTGTAAGGTAGTAATATATTAGATAATTTATAAAAGGTGCCTTAGCAAATATTTGGCACATAGTAGGTAAATAGACATGCATATAGGCACATAGTAGGTAATGGAACCCAGTAATTTTAGATACCAGTGAATGGTGGTTGAATTGCATGACTTCTAAGGCCTTCAGAAACTTGTATGCTGTAGTTTTCTTTCCTTCTAGAGAAAGGATTCATGAACTTTTTGTGCCATGGCCTTCTCTGGCAGTCTGGTGAAGCCTGTGGACCTTTCTCAGAATAAAACACATAAGATTTGAAAGAAAACTGATTATATTGAAATACAACTAAAAATCAGTGCTACTGCTGATACTACTGTGGTTTATTGCCTACATTCATAATTGAAGAAAATGCTAAATTCCATTTACAGGTTAATGAGGATAAAGGTGTAATTTTTTCCCGTGCAAGTTTCCAGGCTCCCTTTTTTTCTTATGACATATAAGGGAAAATAGCCCTTCAAAAACTTTGCAGAAATTTATTTAGAACACTATTAAGTGGTAACCATAAATTTTGTTTACAAAATGAAAAAGAAAAGAGCTCATTCTTAACTTTTTTATAGACTTTTGGAGGGCCTGCCAAATGTAATATTAAGCTATTAAAGAGAAATGAAAGTCCAGAAGTCTCAGAAACCCAAAAGGTTGTGACTGGTTATCCAAATCCTGTCAATAGGGTAAAAGACCATTTATTCAATTTCTCTTTAACACATGGAAAGATTATTGGGTGAAATTGAATGACCATTTTTGTACATAAAACTCTTGTGCTTTCATCTTTATGCACAAAATATTTATTCTTTTAGCCCAACCCTGGAATTGAGAACTTTTTAGCATCCTTGAATATCTCCAAAGAAAACGAAGTACAGGCATCTCATCACAAAGAGCCTCCAAGTGAAGAACATTTGTCACCACAATCATTTGCTATGGTTCGTATCTTATAGGATCTTTTGTACTGTGGTCCATTTGCTACTGTTGGTTGTGCACACGTACCCCACGCAACTGTTAAAACCCTCTTCCTTCACACGGGCTTCTGCGTTGCATCGTTATTGTCAACCTGTGAAGAAAACCAGGCTGCCCTGGGCACATTAGCCATCTTCTTTTTTTTCTTTAGACCATAGCTCCCCTGCTTTTCAAACATCGCTACTAGATGATTGGGTCAAAAGTTAAGCAGGAGGTTAAGCATTTTTTCTACGCAGGAAGTGGGGGTTTTTTTTTTTTTTTCCAACTCTTGACTATCTATTTTCCTTATTCTGTGTTTGAACGTTGTTAACATCTTAATTTTTAACAATGAAATTCTTCAGAAGAAGAATCAATAAGCTTTATAAACCTAACGTTAACTTTCCTCCCTCCTACCACCATCTGCATCCTAATCATTTTCAAAAAAGAAGGGAACACGGATGCTTAAAGAAATTCTAAAAATTGATGGCGCTGAGACTGTGGACCATAAGAGTGAAATGAAACAGTTTGGTAATGAAGTCACTGTTTCTTCTAATAGAAGAGATGAGTATGGACCTTCCTCACAGCCTAAGCAAAATAAGAAATTAGGTAAGTAAACTAAGTACTATTACTAATAACAATACCACTTCCAAAATTCAGTTCATCCTTTTAACATGTGCTTTTAAAAAATAAAACTTCTTTTACTTTTAAAAGAGTATTATTTTTATACTTGTGTCAGTTATGTACTAATATAGATACATAACCATTAGAGCCGTAATCCCTAAATGTCTTCTTATGATTACTTAAATTGTATTATTCCAATTATGCCTTCTTTAGATACCCAAACCTAGTATCTACACCTGGAAAGGTTTTCACATTCTAGTTCTTTTTTTCTCAGTGGTTTAAAACTGACTGTATAATTTAAATATGTTGACTTTTCTGAAATTCATTTTTCATATTTAAAAAATGAGAATAATAACATTGGAAATGACTTGTGATCATTAAATAACATGTATAAAGCAATTAGCACTGTGTCTGGCACGTAATAGTTGTTGTTAGGTGCCATCAAGTTGATTTTTCGAGTCATAGCGACCCCATGTGACAGAGTAGAACTGCCGCATAGGGTTTTCTAAGCTGTGATTTTTACGGGAGAAGATCACCAGGTCTTTTCTCCCTTGGAGTCACTAGGTGAGTTCAAACTCCCAACTTTTCGGTTAGCAGCCGAGTGCTTAACCGTTGTGCCACCAGGGCTCTTTCTGGCACATAGTAGGTGCCAATAATTGACATCAGTATTATGTCTAAATAACCAACATAAAGGCTATAAATAATTAACAGGAAGCAGACATTGAAAAACGGGTAATTATCCATGAAAGCTGCAGCACAACATCTGGCACATTGTTGGAATTCAGTAAATGTCCATCATGGCCTCTGTCTCCCCTGTGGTTTAGTATTTTGTCTATGTAATTATCTGCCAAAGCTTTCCTGGGAAGAATGATTAATACGAAAGTGGGAGGGGATAGAAGTTTCTCAGAGAAATAAAAAACATTTTAGAATAAACAGATCTGCGATTATTAAGAATCAAAGTCCAGAACAAAATCAGAGCCTAGCCCCATTTATACTCCAGTGAGGCTCTAACTGTTAGGAAACTAATTATTTATCATAGTGATACACTTGCTCCTAACATACAGCAAAATAAATGTTTTAAACAAAACTGGATAAAAATGGTTCCACTATCAATGACAAGTAATTTTTACTTTTATTACAGTGTAGCAAGAAAGCTTATAGACCTTGTAGTCAAGAGCCCTGAGTCCAGTCCACATCACAGAGATTACTGGCTCTGTGATTCTGGGCAAGCCACTTCTTTTTAAGTCTGTAATAGTAAAGCATTTGGATTAATTTTTCACGGAGGTACACTCTTGTCCCATTAGTGGTTTGTTGATCATAAAGAATGTGTAATTTCAGGATTTTTAATCCTCTTCTATATACTTGAAAGATTTAATTTCAGAAAAACTTTTAAGAAGCATCATTTTGGAGCATCAAAAAAAAATTTGTTCATGTGTCTTGGAATGTAAGGTGAGTTATGAGAAGTAATACTGAATCCAAAGCTTCTAAGCTTAAGAATTAATTACAAATCAACTCAAGAAAGCCATTTGCAGTTCAGATTTTGCTGTAACAGTACCATATAGTCATCCAAGATGTTAGTTTTTGACAGTCAACTACATATCATATTTTAAAATCTCATATAATTTATAATCACCTGAAAATATTTATTATAGTCTGAGTAATTTTAGGCAATACTGAATAGTTCCTGTATTTGCTTTATGGAGATTAATTTTTTCACATTTTAGCAATTTCCTGCTTACTCTTCCTATAAAACCCGGCAATAATTAAATAGTTTGAGATGTCATTTTATTAATATAGATAATTTCTCTTTTGTAGCATCTTACATGAACAAGTCTCACAGCGCTAATGAGTACCATAATGTTCCGTCTATGGACAATGTGTGTTGGCCCACTGCCAGCCAGATGCCTTCTGTGCCCACATCAGTAACCGAACTTTCTCGAATTTGTTCCCTTGTTGGAATGCCACAACCAGATTTCTCCTTTCTTAGAACACCACAGGTATATTATACTACTGTGCCATTTATATAATTTCTTTAATACTGAGCTTAAATAATTTGACAAAAAATCTTTGGCTAGAAAAAATATAATGGGGCTGGGGTTTGTTTATTTTTTGTTTTGACTTTATGAACAGCATAGATTTATGCTTCTCATTCTGGCCTGAGCCCTCAAAGAGGCTGAGGGCGAGGGCCATGGGCAGCAGGTATGCTTGGTGAGATTTTCAAGACTGATAGAGCTAGGAAGCTTGGTCTACAGAGCAGTTCTCAAACTTTTTGGTCTCAGAACTGCCAAAGAATTTTAAAATCCCTCAATTTTTTTTTGTTTTGTTTTGTTTTTTAAGATCCTAAAGAATTTTTGTTTACTTTGGTTATAATCATCCATATTCACCATATTATAAATTGGTAATTGAGAATATTTTTAATGTTTATTCATTTTTTGTTAAAAATATCTTTTACAAAAAGTAAATGGGAAGAGTAGCATTGTTCTACATTTTTGCAAATCTTTTCTGTTTGTGGTTTAATTAAAGAAGCTAAATTCTCGTATCTGCTTCTGTATTCAGTCTCTTGTGATATATATTGTTTTGTTGATGTATCTGAAGACAATTTGGCCTCACACAGATAGATAACTAGAAAAGGGAGGAAAATTTTAATAGCTTTTTCAGATAATTGTGGATATTCTTTGATACTACTTTAAAACTTGCAAAGTAGTATTTTCTTAAAGGTTCGATGCAATGTGGTTTCTGAAACCAATCAGTGAACTTTTTTGTACTCTTTACACTTGTGAGAAGATGAGAATGAGAAAGGCAAATAACGTCTTAATTTATTGTGAAAATAATTTTGACCTTAAGGACCCCCTGAAAAGGGCCCCAGAGGCCCCCAGACTACACTTTAACAACCACTAACTACAAGACAGTTTGTTTTGTCCTCTTTATGTACAAGTTCTCAGTACCTTTAGCGTAAAAATAGAAGGCAGGATTGAACTGATAATACTGCATAAAGATGGCTATGTTTTGGGGGGAAAAATTGTTGTTTTTTTTTAAATCTTTTTGTTAAAAGAAAAAATTAAAATATAAAGCGTTGTATTTTAGATGTGAAAATAAAATCAGTCAGAATCTCTGAGCCTTAGATTTTGGAAATTTAATTCATATTAGGAAAATATCTGCTAATTAGTAGATAGTGTAAAGCAGGGATCAGCAGACTTTTTCTGTAGCGAGGCAGATAGTCAATATTTTAGGTTTTTCAGGCAATATGGTCTCTGTGGCATCTACTCGGCTCTGCTGTTGGGGGTGTGAAAGCAGCCATAGACAGTATGTAGAGTAAGGGGCGTGGCTTTGTTCCAGAAAAACCTATTTACAAAAACAGGTGTCAGGCCCTACCTTAACCATAGTATAAAGAAAAAAAATTGCTGGTTTTCATTTGCATTAGGATGCTTAGAGAGTATTTTATTTTGTAAACATTGAAAGATAAGGCAACAGTTCTGAAATTTGCATGACAATCCAAAAGGTAAACTGTTAGTCCTTGTTTGAATTCTTGAATTCTTTTTTACAGAATGTCAAATGAAATTATTCTTCTCGTTTACCCTAAACTTTGGCAGGGGGTATCAACTTCCTAGACAAAAAATTTCATAGGCATTCGTATTCTCTTTCTTAGACAATGACAGTTTGCCAGGTAAAATTATCTAATGGTTTACTGGTACATGGACCACAGTGTCACTCTGAAAATGAAGCCAAGGAGAAAGCTGCTTTTTTTGCTTTACAACAATTGGTAAGAACTGTCTATGACTCCTCTTAAATTTTTAATTAGTTTGCATAGAACATTTTTGTTGCATTGTCTTATATCTTTTAAATGCTTTCATAGAGTTCATTAGGAGTGAATTTCTCTGTGCCTCTACCAATATTTCCAAATTATCCTCCTGCTGTACCACCTGGAACCATTCCTCCAGTTTTTCCTCAGCCTACCGGTAAGATATATTGCTTTTCTGAATATTTGTCATTAAGTTGTCATTTTTAGAAGGTTCTTCTTTAAGAGACATCTTGAGGCAACCAAAAATTCATCCAAATGTCTAGGACTGTAAGAGCAGACTGTGAGAAGTCGGCCTGAAGCCAGAGCTGTAGGTTCATCTAGAAATACCATTCCTCTTCTGTAGCTTCCCTGTAACTAGAATAGGACAGTTCATTGTAGTGGGCAGGCCCTTGTTCCCATAATAACTGCCAACAGATGAATTTGGGTTTTAAGTTAAACATCAAAAACCAGAGACTGGGGTGGGGAGGAGGTAAAAAAAAACAGGTAAGGAGGCTTTGAAGCTGTAGTTGTGAAAGAAACTGTCCTTAATGATGAGGGAAATGAATAGGGGAAGGGCTTTTAAGCTTATTACATGTGTTTCTTATATTCTCATGTATTTGTCCTCCTCCTTCAGGCATTGTGCCTGAATTGTCAAGCAGGTAATTCCCTTCTTTCTGTGGCCAGTTAGTAACTGCTGGGAGCAGCGGTGGAGTGGAAAGGTCACTATGGAATCAGGACTCTATTTTTATCCAGGCTCTTCTATTGACTGACCTTGAAAAAATCATGGAACTTCTTTGGAACTTGGTTTTCTTATTTATATTTGGTTATGTCTAGAATCGTTTTAAGACTAACATAATTTTATAATTCTAAATCTTAAACATTTTTGATCACCCAGCCTTTTTTCTAATGGCAATTGTCTTCTCCATATCTTAATTATTATCATTTTAAAGGCAATAATTTGTGGGGGTTTTTTTTTAAGTTTAGAAAATTATTTTTCTACCTCTTTATTATTCTTAGAGGATACAGCTTATTGTTCTCTACTATATGTCAGGTATTACTCTAGGAGCTCTATATATCTTGTCCTCACTACAAATATTAGAAAGGTTAATAACGCTGATTAAATACAGTAAATTTACAACATGTAGTTGTCTGTTTTCCTTGCCCGAACTCCATTAAACTGAATAATAAAGAATTTTAAAAGTGTAAATCTATAAGGACAAAGATGGGAGAAGCATCAGCAGAGTAAAGATTAAAGAGATTTTGTGATGATGTAAAGCAATTGAAGAAGTAACAACCAATTTATCAGAGCAGGATAGCCACAAACTAAAGTGCCTATACAAGAAAATTCAAATGAGCTGATGAGCAGAGTTGCTTCACACAGCTCCCAAGAGATTCAGAACTTGAAGGTATCAGGAGCTATCAGGGAAGGCAAAGATGAGACGTGCTAAAAAGAGAGGGACTGGTTGAACATTCATATGTGGAGTGATAGGGCCACCCCAGCTTCTCCCCCACATAGCCAGGCAGTTCCCTCTTCAGGCAGAAGACAAGAGTTGTATCCTCTGGAGGCATTCTAGATATGAGGACACCAGGCACAGAGTAAATAATGAAGAATGAGGCTGATTCCCAGATCGTAGCCAGCTATTATCCTACCCTCAAAATAGGAAATTGGAGGGTAATTCTTTTGCGAAATTCATTGACCTCCAAAAAAAGACCTACTGACTTTTGGGAAGTGTCCCAACGAAAAGACCAGCTCACCATCCAGTCATCCCAGAGTGAAGCCCTCAAATCATCTAGCTCTGCTCCCTCCTACACACACTGCTTCTAATCACAGTTTCAGTGAGTCACTCTTTAATGTGAGTAGATACTAGATTGTGAAAGATCACCAGCCATTTAAAGAAAAACTCTAAAATGAAAGAAAGAGACCAAAACAAAGAAAAATAAAAAGAACCTGGAAACAGAGTTAAAGTAGGAAATAAGAAGACTTCAAAGACAACTATAATTAATATCCTCAGTTAATAAAACATTATTGCAAGCAAAAAGTAAGAACAGAATCTATGAAAACAGAATAATTGAAGAACAAGAATTAAAATTATTGAGTTATAATTTTAAAATTCAGTAAATAAAGCCCTAGCAAGGCCAAGGAACTCTAAGGAGGAAGAACAAGATACAAGCTGGAAAATAGGAAAGAAGAGAGATTTAGAGGAGCAGTGCAGAAGTCTATCACGTATCTAATGGCAGTTCCAGAAAAAGAGACCAGACATAATAGATAGAAAGGAAGAAAGTATCAACAAAATGATATAAAAAAATTTCCTAGAACTATCTCTATTCCCAGAAAAATTTCCAGCTGTCTCTAAGCTTAAACGGCCATTAGCACAGTGAATGATTTTGACTGCCTTTAATTCAGAATGCCGGTGATAAAGAGCTGCTTCTAAGAGTTCCAGAGAGGGGAAGTGGAGGGAGAAGTACACATAAAAGATCAAGAATCAGGAAAAAAAAAAAACCACACTGTTTAACAGTGGCTAGAAGCTGGAAAGCAGTTGAGTATTAAATGGCTCAAAATCCTGAGGCTGAATTATTTTCATCCTATATTATATAGCCAAACTATGAGTCTAGTACAAGGGAATAAAGACATCTTTCAAACATGCAGATTTACCTCCAGTGCACCCTTTCTTCGTAGTCCCTGGGTGGTGCAAAGGTTAACGCACTTGACTGCAAACCAAAAGGTTGGAGGTTTCAGTCCACTCAGAGGCACCTTGAAAGAAAGGCTTGGTGATCTAATTCTGAAAAATTAGCCATCGAAAACCCTATGGAGCATTGTTCTACTCTGGCACACATGGGGTCACCATGAATCAGAATCGACTCAATGGCAACTGGGTTTTTTGCTGGTGGCACCCTTTCTTAAGAAGCTACTGGATTATATGCTCCAGCAAAACAAAGAAGAGTTCAAAAAAAAGGAAGTCATGAGACCAAATACATAAGAGATCTAGTATAGTTTATGCAGTGAATTGAAATCCCAGGATGCCAGCTGCCCAGCAGGTCTAGAAGGTAACTAGACCCAACTAGAGGAGCAGGGGGAGGTCTTGGCTGCCAAGGTAGGTTATCTAATAGATCAGATGCAGCATTTGGAGAAACATTAAGAATAGGTGTATAGAACACTTTCAAAAGATAATTATTAATTTGAGTAAAAGCAAAAAGTTTTCAAGAATCAGAGTGCGCTCCTTTGATCTGCAGTGACAGTATTTACACAGCCACATACCATAAACACCGCTTATATCTTTAAACAAGTTTTGTGATATACTTAACAAAAAGTCAACAGGTTTATCAATAGTACCTAAGATTGATAAATCACTGAATAGTAGCATAAGCAAATTATTGAGCAGTGTGGAAGTGAACACCTAAAACAGTTGAACTCAGGGTAGAACAGGTAACTGCTATTTTATGTTGAAAACATTTTTTAGTACAATGTGCAAATAGTTTTTTTTATTAAAATTTTTTTAAACTTGTCTAAGGTCGTAAGTAAGTAGCAGAACTGGCATTCAGAACCCAAGTCTGTCTGATTCCCAAGCCCTTGCTTTTGTTACTTTGCTACTACTGGTATTCCTTTGACTGTATAAACAACGTTTTAATCATAAAATTTTTATGACATAGTGGATCTGACATTTTCATGTAGCTCAAGGTAGTAAGTTCACCATGACTCGGAAAATCTCATTTGCCCACTTTAATGAAGCTGTACTATTTTACAGGTCAGGCTGCTTTTTTATCACTCTGAGAAGCCTGCAAACAGTGCATCTCTTCTTCAGCGACCGTGTGCTAGTGTTGCCACTGCTGAACGCAGCAGTTCCCAAGTGCCGCACCGGTACTGGCTGTCGGCAGAAGAACCCTCTGTAGTGCTTGTTAAAAATGCAGATTCCTGGGCCCTTCTCAGAGTCTGACTCACTGGGCCTGAGGCCCTGCCCAGGACTCTGTATCTTGCAGCTCCCCAGGTGATTCAGGTTGGGGAGCCACTAGTTCAATGCACTTTTAGTAACAAAAAAAATATAAACTATAAAAATCCTTAAATTACAAGTATTATAATAGAGGAAAGAATCTACATGTTGTATGAAAGTTATCAGATTTCAGGACTTGAGCTTTTTTGATTTTTTTTTTTTTTTTTTTCTGTAGGCTGGGATCATTATGGAAGCAACTTAGCATTTGGGGCAGGTGAGATCCTTAAGATTTCTCTTTGTGCCCAGGCTTTTCTGCCCCTAGGGGTAGTGTCATGACTGTTTTCTTGTTATTATTTTAATACAATTCCAAATATTCCCAAAGCTCATGCCAATATATTATACTCTTGGACTTTGCACGCCAAACAGCATAATGACAGATTGGCTTCTGTAGACATTTCACAGTCCCAATGGGGGGCTTCCGAGGTTGAATGTTAAAAGCAAGAATAATTACAGTAAGTGTAGCCCTTTTGCCAAAGAGAAAAAAAGCTAGGGGTAAAAAAAAAAAAAAAGAACGGCTATCAGAAAGATTTCTTAAGTTTCAGAGTTTTGATGATAAAGTTTTATTTATAAGAGCAATTCTCCATGATTTTTAACAGCCAGTATGATGCCTTCATCATCTCATCTCTTTGCCTCAACGCCGTGGGCACCGCCAGCGACAGTACCTGGAAAGCCTTTCCATCATGCTTCCTATCCCAGGACCATGCCCATGGCTGGGGGAATTGCGGCTGGTGTGCACAGTCAGTTCATACCTCTGCAGGTGAGACCTCGGAGGACATTTATTTGTCTTGCTCAAAATTAAGCTCAAAGACTGTTGAGCAAAATGAGTTTATTCTGTAATTACACGGTGTCAGCTAGAAGCCCAGTACTGATCTGAGTGCTGAGAATGTGGTGTGACAAGTCTGACTGGTCCCTGCTTTCTGGGTTTGTGATCTAATAACTAGTAATAATAATTCTAGCAAGTAATAATTATGCTTTTCCAATACAAAGTGATTTAAAGTCAGGAATATAAGTTTTCTTTATATATAAGTTATAGAGAATTCTTTAATGTTTATTTGTAACTAAATTATCTGAATTAAAGTTTGGTTTGAAGACTCTAAGTAGAGGTCACAAATCAACAGTGGATGACAACTGTACTATAGCTGCATGATTTATGGTATTGTCTGACAGTAGCTTCTTTTGTCTACATTGTTAATTATTGATACTTTCATTCCTTAAAGGTTACTAAAAAACGAGTTGCAAATAAAAAGAACTTTGAGAATAAAGAGGCTCAGAGTTCTTCTCAAGCTGCCCCACGTCAGACGAGCCAGCCAGCGTCTTCAGACATTACCAAAGTGATGCCACAGGAGAGTTCATCAGCTTCTGTAAAGTCCCCTCACATTACTCAGCCTGTGTCTTCTTTTCAAGCTGAAGCTGCCTCCCAAGGCCACAGTATGTCTTATCATAAGTCAATACCAAGTTCTTCTTCAAGAAGAAAACCAAGAAAACTGGCTGTCAATTTTGGTGTTTCTAAACCTTCTGAATAAATTTGGTACTTGGAATTAATTTCTTTCCTTTCCTTTTTATGAGGCATAGTCCATATCTATGTTTCATAAAAATAGAATGTACTATTTTAAGATAATATGTTTTGAGTTGAAAATTTTTAATATTTGAGTTGTCAGGCACTTTTCATGCTGTTTAAAAGACTGTATACCAAATTGTACACTTTAAATATGTGCAGTTTGTTGTACGTCAGTTATACCTCAAAAAAGCTGTTAAAAAAACAAAAAAGACTGTAAATTAAAACCTTGTGTTAAAATAGTATCAGTGGACTAAGCATTAAAATGTACCACTTTAACCATTGGCCTCCTCATTAGAAGCATCCTGAACTATGAATTAGACATCATCTTAGCAATAATAAAAAACATTTTTTTATGCTATCTTTGAGGGGTAATTAAATGAAGCATGAAAATTGGGCCTCAAATATTATTTATTGAATGTGGACTTTATTTCCCTTTTTAATGATGTAACAAATTTTCAAGAGAATGGCTCTTATTTATATGTGTTTTAATTTATGTCTTGTCGTCTTTGAGGGTCCTTTAGACCTGCTGTGAAACGATCACGCTTGTGTGGTGCTGCCAGTTTTGCTTTATTCTCAGTTTTGTACCAAAGCAACTTAAGAGTATGGATGAGAATATTTCATCTAACTGCTTAGAACTATAAATAACAGTCTAGGTTTGAGTAAGTAATTACAGTTTTTTAGATTATTCAAGAACCAGCATTAGTAATTTCTAATGAGATTAAGTTTCAAAATATACAGGGTACAATGATTACAAATTAATCTTCTAATAAAATTAAGTACAAAAAATCAATCATGTTGTTAATTAAAACAAACTGTATGTCTCCCATTTATAGCTTTTTATCTCCTTGCTTATCATACAAGAGCCCCGTTTTTGGTCCATGTGTAGTGCTTCCTGGAATCAATGAAATTATTAATATTTTTTAAATTCCAAAGTGTGCTGTAAAACAGACACAATCATTAGTTTGTGATGTACATGATTTATGTGACAAATGCCTATCTCATTCTAGTTCCATATTTTTAGCTTTATGCTGGTCTGTTCAGCGACTCTGGCATTTTGTCTTTGCATGTCATGTGTGGGTGTGTGTTGTTCAAGCTGTGGCTGTTGAAATTATTTTAAAGTTTATGAAAATTTCCCAGTGGTACCAGGACCTGAGGTTTTGTTTTATATATATATATACCTTTTAGGTTTTGTGATATGCTTATATTTTTAAGGAAGTAAGTTATCATACTTTTTTAAAAGTAGGAACCACAATCTTTATATGGAGCTGCTTTATTATTATACTGGATTTCATTTAGCTCATTGCAAACTCTGTCATGAGTCTTAGTCTGTTTTTTTTTAAAACATGCTGGTATTGAACTAAATGTATTCATTTCTCTAACAGTTTATTTCAAGGTCTCTCTGAATATTAGCAGCATAGTTGTATATCAGTAGTGCCTTTAGTATAAGGAGATAAATGTCCATTATCTGTCAGTTGTTACAGCCATGTGAGTTTCTGTGATTTTATTTTCTATTAATTTCTTAGGTTCAGATGTTTACTGTTTTCCAACATTTCCTTGTTGGGAATGCTTGTTTATCTGTAGTAGAATTTTGAGTAATGAGGTGCGAATAAATCTCAGTGTTTATCCTTATTGCCTCACAAGCTCTTTTCTAAGTACCCACATCCAAATTTGTAAATTATCATGCATCATTCTTGGCCTTCAAATGTATAGATTTATTCTGTTTGTTTTAAAAGGAAATGGAAATATCTATTATGGGAATACAAGGAAAAAGTTTAATTATAACAGTAATGTTATGTCAAAACCTCTTACTACATTTAAAGCGTGTAATATTCTTCCTCTCACGTGACTGTACAAACTCCAGCATTCAGTTGCCTCAGTCATCACTCCTGTGAGACTGTAAACGCTGTGCGGCCTGCGTCTGTTTAAGAGCACAGAGGAAGGAGGAAGGAGCACATGTTATCTTCTGAAAACTCCAAGAAGACTTTCACTATGCGCAGTGCCACTGAACCTGTGAGAATACTTCCCCATGTTCTAGCAAAGCAAGCTGATAATTCTATATGGATAGGCAGTGAAAGTGTTTTCATTCTTTTTTAAAACATATTAGGTTAAGATTGAAGAGAGATTAAGATAGGAGCGAGCTCCATAGTGTCTGGAGAGTGGTCAGGCAGTCTTCTATATTGTTTCCCTTGTGGACCTGAGATTAATGAGAGATGTGCCCTCCCCACAAAGGACATGAGGCAGAGCCATTCTTTCCTCATGATGACCTTGAGGAGAGTGGATCCATTCTTTGGGAAACTTACTGCTTTTCCCTTTTGGATGAAGCAGACTCAGACCACCCCTCAAGGTTAGAAATATGTCCATGCAGCCATTTAATCTGCTATAGGACTTCTTTGTGAAAACTGTGGACCGTATAGAGTATGGAAGCACAGATTCCCTGCATTTCTTCATGTTTTTACATAACTAAAGCAGTTAAATCTATTTAAACCTTCCCCTCTTTACTGAAACATTGTTTCTAAATATTCTTGTTTAATCTTTTTTTTTTTTTGAGCAAATTAGTGAACTTTGAAGATTGATTCTTCCAGTCTCATTGTTTCTTTTCACGGTTTCCTACATTACCTGGTCATATGAGTTTTATAATCTGACAGAATATGTTACTTACTTTAAACATCATGTAGAGTAAAACCTTAAACATCTGAGGCTGTGAAAAATTAAATTCACCCCATGTGAATCTTGGTTTCAATTTAAGAGTTTCCTTGCTTTTCAAAGGGACAAGTAGTGAAGATTGGAGGGTTTTTTGTTTGTTTTTGCCTATTGGTGGGGGAACATTGGAAGTAGGGTGATGAAGAACTATTGCTCTAAGTTTTTTGTTAGTTATATTTCCTTTTTTATGATCAGTTATTTGCTTTGGTTTTGGACCGAGACTTCAACAATATTCTAGATTCTTTGTTTCAAGGGGAGGGAGCAGAGATGAGAGGTTGAAAGAAGGAAAATGTTTAAATAAGACATATCTAATCACTACATTTTCAGACTAATATATCTTTCTAGCTCAAAGAAATAGATAAGTTACAGGGTGTTTTTTATTCACTCACTCTAATCATCGTTCTATTTGTATTAATAAAACAAACATTTTCATAGTGATTATCTAATTTTTACCTTATTATATGAGATAGCTAGAACTGTCCATATCTCCATTGAAATTAGTTTTAACATACTTCTTCTTATTCAGAAATCATTTTCTTCAACAACTGTTGTACGATTTCCTAGCATTGTGAGCTTGCTATATTTCTTAGTACCATCTTGCTTCCAAATTATCTTTATTGTAGAGGGGAATTCATTTGTTGGAAAGAAATGTCTGCGAAAAACATCCTCTACGTAAATAAGAAATGAATCACAGAAGTTCACTTGCCATTTTTCTAGAGATAGCAATACTACTCAAACTGGCAGTGTTCTTTATATACATTTGGTAAGGTTTATCAGTGAAACAGTCTTGTTTACAGGAGCTTCCTTTCCTAGTCAGGATAAAGCTTAATGTTTGAGAAATGAATATTTTCAGACTGACCTGATTCATATTTCCATAAGGCCTCTCTGTCTTTTGCCAGGGAGCAGTAAGACACTGTTGAAACAGATGTCAGCAGATCTCCAGCAGCAGGGCAGAGCTAACAGGCTGGCCATAAGCTTCACTATTAAACTGAGTTAACAGCTCAGACATCACAGACCCTTCCCTCAGAGAGAGAAGAAAAAATGTATAAAATAGTTTTTGTAGTTAAGAGCATCAACAATCCATAGCTGCTTATGTGTGTGTTTGTATGTGTGTGTGTGTGTGTTTGTGTACCAATAATAATGCCTTGCTCAATCAATGCATTCAGCCATCTCAAGTGCAATTTGTGAAGGAGACTGTGGTTTCCAGTAGATACATTTTTTACAGCATTAAACCTGTAAAAGTTAATTTTTTCCAGCAGTACACCCATCACTCTTAATTATCTCAGCAATTGGTATACTATTAGATTGCACAGGCCAATTAATTAAGTCTCTGTAGATGTTTGCATAATTTGAAGCCAAATTCTTATACTGTTTCTCATGAAATAATAGTGAGAATTTGGTCTACAGTTTGCTTTAAATTCTTATTTAGTCTTTTCTTAGTCCTCCCACCCCAGTATCTTACTTTTTTTTCACCAGCACCCACTTGCTTATGAGTATTTTCATCTATTTTGACATATACCAATTGTGTGCTGTATCGTCAGTGTTTAATTCATATATATGATTCGTTTCTTTTCTCACATGTATAACTATTTTCTAAGTAACTGGAATTTTTCATTAGATCTTATACAGAGCAGTATTTTATTAAAAATTCAAAAGGGAAGACTTTTATGTGCCCATTTTGTAGTTTTTGTTTTTACAATATCTTTACATTGTTTGTCTGCCAAGTGTTTTAAACATGCATTGGAATGGACTCCGAATGTATTTTTGTGTTAAGTTGTACATTTGTAGATTTCTAGCATGAAGTTAGCCCCAAAATGCTGTGCAAAAGGATTTTAAAATATAAGAGTCACTGAAAGAGTTTAAACATCTATACATGTTAAATGCTGTATGGATTTTAATTAAAGATTTGAGAATGATTTCTTAAGCTGTTTGTTCTTGTATGTTTGCAGTAATATCAAAAGTGGAACTACTGCAGTATTCACTTATACCCCATATCCTTTTATATCTGTATCTTAATTCTGTGTCATTTAGAGTACACTGAGACAACATAGCTGGTGGCAAAAGCATGAATTGTAAATTCAGATGAGCACTGTTCAAATCCTAGCTCGCTCTCTCTCAACTAATTGTAAATAAGTCATCATGTTAGTGTTGGCAAGTTATGTAAAGTCTAAGCCTCAGTTTCTTCATCTCCTAAAGGAAGAAAACAACACCCTTGTGTTCTTGTACATGTAAAGCGCCAGATACATAGCAGATGCTTTACAAATGTTAGTAATAATAGGGATTTGTTATGTGTGTACTCAGACCTATTAGCTGGATCCCAAATACACCTGAAGTCCTCTGTATAGTGCCAAATACTGCTCTGCTTTTCCCACTGAGCCGTCCTCCAGTATCCAGCTTGTTCAGAGCCTCAATGCCACACCTGGGCATCTGATAGACTCTTCTCTTTCTGTTCTCCCTGCCTTTTCCTCCCATGATCCCCTTAATCTTTTCTGCCATATAGGGTGAGGTTCCTGCAGAACCACCTCGCAAGAGGCTTTAATTCCTGTTCGTGAGACTGGAACATCTGCAAGACTGACAAACTTTGCAAATAGTGACCATGTCTCACAGTATAACTGATACATTATTTTACCAAAGTCTCTCTCTGGTAGAGGTGGAGAGAGTTGGAAAGAAAGAGGTGAGGAAGGAAGAAAATCTCTTGCCGTATGTGCTTCCAGCTCTGTACCATAAACCTGAGGGTATCTTTCCCATTGTACATTACCAAAGATCACAAGCAGCGATCACAGATCACATTTTTTTTTTTTTTTGCACATGTCCTTTTTTTGAACTCCACAATATCCATGGAAATGCAGCATTGTTATCACAATGCTACAGAGAGGAAACCATCATTTGAGCAGTAAAATAATTTTCAAAGTGATACAGATTAAATAAATAACAAGGGCAAAACCGGAACTAAAAGCAGAAAGTTTGACAGAAAGCCTCTTCCCGTGACCTTGGTATCACATTGTCTCTAAAATCGTAGTAAATCTAGGTAAAGAGGTCAATTCTGTCATGTGTCTGTGAGATCTGATGATAAATAAACTGTCCTTTGCAGATCTCATTACCAGCTTTCTAAGTTTCCATCCACTCAGATGTATTTGTCAACTCTGCCGAATAGACTTCACTGCAATGGCATACACTTTTCACAGTAAAGTCAACTGACCAGGTGTAGCTGAGAATCGGTGCCATCTTGAGTACCTGAGGCCGATATGCCTTTGTAGTCTTAATGAAGAATAATATGTTGCTAGACTCTTTTAGGTGACTTAGACAAGGTCTGAAGAGATAAAGAACCTTAGTGACAGAACCCACAAATGCCAAGGCATCCGCATTCTTTCCACTATAATCCACTCTTTCATGCGCTACAGCAAAAACTCTACAAATCAACACTTAAGCCAGTTATCGTAAATAATAGAATTGCTAGTGTCAAATAAATTTGTATGTAGTTTTGAACAATCCTTCAAGTTTCCTTCTTTAATAATGATTCATAGTTTATTCTTAAAGGAGAGTTTGTTTTGTTTTGTTTTAATCACCAACCTGAGCGGAGAAGAGTACAAGAGCGTATTCAAAGCTCATAGAAACTCATTGCCATCAAATTGATTCCAACTCATAGTGACCCTATAGGACAGAGAATTGCCCCCTATGGTTTCCAAGGAGCGGCTGGTGGATTTGAACTGCTGACCTTTTGGTTAGCAGCCGAGCTCTTAACCTCTGTGCCACCAGGGCTCCAAAGCTCATACAGCACCTTCAAAATTTAAGAATCTGGGATTCAGAGAGGTAAATGAAAGGAAATCTTTGATCCACGAAGCTGTTTAGCCACATTCAAGGACATTTGGTGGGAACGATTGTTTCCTGTGTACTGATGAAGTAGTTTGTCAAGCAAAAGATCGTGAGCTTCCCTAGCACCTGGATGTTCTTGGCTTTCAGCCTGTCTAGAAGCTCTTTTCAGTCTGGAACAGGAAAATAAATCATGCACATAAATCAATCTGTGGAACCTACTGATCAATTTGTTTGGCTTTTGATTCTCATATAACTTCAGGGAAACTGAAGCAGGGCAATACTTCCTTTCTTTTCAAATAATTTATATTCTAAGCTGATACAGAAGGATATCCTTGAGCCAGTTCAGTTCAGTGGGGTTCAAACCAAAGATGAGGGTGTCAGACACATCTTTTCTCACGGTCCAAGGCAGATGAGACAGGAAGGTACTTTCAAATCACAAATTCGCCCTCACATCCGATTAAGGCAGACAATGTAGAGTCAATATAAAGTTGAAAGTATGACCACAGTGAAGCAGAAGCCATGGTAACCTTTCTTTTGATCTTTCTTACGTAAGGAAAAAGAACTAGCGTTTTCCACATAGGTCTACAGAGAGGAACACCATTTACCGGGGCGTCCAAGTGCTCTCGCCCTGGAGCCACACAGGCAGTCTCCAGCGCGGCAGCAACAAGGCAGCAGCGATCACATTCTGATACGGTATTTGGCTGCTTTGATCCAGCAGGAGGCATACTGTCTAAGATTACCAGGGAAGACTTAACTAGCTGTTTTTCCACTTCATTCCCCAGTCTGCCGGCTCTTCACACAGAGCCTCAGTAACCACCCGTATCTACCCCAACGCTATACTCACTGAGACTGCCATCTTGCACCAGTTTTTTGACTTGAGAATCATTGGTTACAAAAACAAAACAAACTGAAACTCACTCAAGCTAGCTCTTAAAAAAGGAGTTTCCTGTAAGAATATGGGGCAATCTCTGAGAATCCAACCCAGGAAGTATAATCAGGCCTCTTGAGAACTGAAGCTCTGCAAGGATGTTACCCTCCAATTCACTCTCTCTCTCCTCTCCATGGGCCTGTGGGGTCTGTGATCTGTAGATCAGGGTCTTTGCTCACTCATCCTTTATAGGGATGAGAGGGGAGGGAAAGTCATCTTGAGGAGGGATCACCCCTGCTGGGCTGTGAGTTGACAGCTTCTCTTAGAGAATCTGGGCAGTGAAGAAAGGCTGGCCTCTCTGGGTCAGGCTCTTAAGCAACAACTACATCCTGGGCCAGGAGTCAGTCAATTCGTTACAGTTTTTACATAAAAGAAGGTCTGCAGGGAACAAAATTGCCCTGAGATAATCTTTAAACCTTAAACCAAAAATAGCCCCTGAAATCTTCTTAAAACCAAGCAAGTTAAGCTTAACTAGTAAAGAACGTCTGCCTTGAGCATTATGCTCTTTTCAAGCGTATCTATGTGGGATCAAATTGACAACCGCAACTAGATAGAAATTAGAAAGGAATCTTAGGGGTCAGTGAGTTTATGTTAATGGAGGAGGAACAACTCAGAAAAGTTGCACAACTAGAAGAATGTAATCAATGTCACTGTATCGAAACACGTAGAAACTGTTAAGTTGGTGTGTGTTTTGCTGTGTATATTCTCAACAACAATAAAATAAATTATTTTTTTTAAAAGTCTGCAGAAAAGGAGATTTGCCTGCTGTTAACCAAAATTCACTATCTATGACACACCAGGAAACAGACAACTCTCATAGAGGGGTAATTCCAGTTAAACTCCTTCAACTTGGAAAATGGTTGCAATCAGAATTTTTCAACACTTTTTGTAGTCACTGATTCCTACAGTTTTAAGAGTGTTAGCCATGTTACAATGAGTTCCTAAAAACAGGATCAATAAATAAATATACCAAAAAAAAAAAAAAACCCGTTGCCGTCAAGTCAATTCTGGCTCATAAAAACCCTATAGGACAGAGTAGAACTGGCCCATAGGGTTTCCAAGGAGCAGCTGGTAGATTTGAACTGTCAACCTTTTGGTTAGCAGTCAAACGCTTAACCAGTATGGCTCCTATAAATAAATATAGCTATCAATTATTAAGTGCTTATTAATTGCTTCCTACATCTCAGGTTGATGTTCTAAATGGTTACGCAAGTTTGGACTAGTAAACCAGGAAACATAACACCAGTGTGACAAGTACACAAGAAAGGGATACCTCATGGGCTGGGAAGGTATCGGGGACTGTCCTCGAGTCACTGAGGTTTAAAGGATCCAGATGGCAGAAGGAGATTGTTCAGAGCTCTGGGAATTGCTGGATTCCATAAGGTGCACACTAAGAGAGGTTAGAGGTAAAAATGGAGATGAAGGCAAGGGCCAGATTATAAAGAACCTTGCAGATCACGCTAAAGTGTTTGGATTTCTTGGCAAAGACAGGGAGCTATCTTAATCAAAGCTCTTTTGTTTGGATGCAGCAAAATTCCACTCAAATTAACTCAAACAAAAAAAAAAGGTAAAACATTTACCATATGATGCAGGAAAATCTACAATTCAAGGGCAGGAACACAGCTGGGCCTCAGAGGGGCCTGGGCCAGGAACAAGAGAGGCATCAGGAACCCAAATAGGTACCCTACCCTCTCTAGTCTCACCCCTGCTCTTCTATTTAACACACAAGGCTTCCATAGTCCAGTTGTACTTTGCCTCCCTTCTAGCAACTACCCTAGCACTAGCATCTCTTCATCTCAACTCCGGATGGGCTAAGTTTGTGTCAGATGTTCACCTCTGTGCCTAGGCAAGTAAGGCTGATGAATACAAACATGATTGCCATGGTCCATTCATGTAGGATGGTGTTTTTCTGAACAAGAAGGCTTGGGAGGTAAAGATATCCCCAAAACATTCTTCTAAGACGAGCTATTAGAAGATTTTAAGAAGGGGGTTATTTGCTTTTAAAATGTAAACTTTAGTGGCATTGTAGAGAGTAGAAAGGGTAGAAATCATAGACAAGGAGACAGGTGTTTCAGTAAATCAGGTATAAATGATGCAGCTACACTAACTCTTAGAAACTCTTACATTGTTTAATATGTTGGCTATCCAAGTGAAATGAGAAATGTGAAAAAAGTTTCCAGGGT